TCACGGTGGTAAGTTTTAGTTACGTATAGTGTGTGTGTGTGTGTGTGGGGGGGGGGGGTTAGGATGACTCACGAGTTCTCCAGAGCTCACAGTGTCAGATTGAGTAGTGTTCACAGGCGGAGAAATGGCAGATGGTCGTGTTTGTGCCCAAATGGAGAGGCGATAAGTCTTGTTGTGTTGAAAAAGCAGCCATCTGACATGTTGTATGGGGTAGAATGTGCATTATTTGTTTCTGTATCTTTATCTGTATAGCCGGTATAACTGTCCTTCACTTGTAACACACCAGCTTCTGTATCTGTATCTGTATAGCCAGCATACATATGTAACTGCCCTTCGGTGCATCTCTATCTGTAAAGACGATATATTATCCACCCTTCCTTCCCTAACACACCAGCTTCACAGGCATGTCACACAGTGGCAGCTGGCTATATCACACTGAGCAACCTGCCACGAAACCATTGCACATGTAGCTGTTTAAAGCTACCGAGTGATGATGCCGGTACTGTATTTGATGTAGTAGATTTGTGGAAGCGGGATGTTGAAATGTTACCCATGTAGTTGAGGAATCTACGAACCAACACCTGACGATTGTGATGAAAATCATTCCTTCCCTGCGAGGTGGAAAAAAGATAATATATCGAGCAGTTTGGAACGGCGTGTAAGCTCAGAACCTGCCGTTATGACACAGTGCACCTCACAGATAAGAAAATATTTTGCATATCCTTTGTGACTTGAGAGTAGGTTAGGATTTTTTGCGGCAATATACATACAACGCAGGCAACATCAAACCAGGTATGATAGCTCTCCAGCCCAAAGTGCGAACAGCGTACTAATAATATCCATCCCTATCATCAGTTTGATAGAAGCCATTAAGACCGTGCAGCTATTCTATGCCTGCGTTTCCATCCAGCAGTCATCACTGAAGCGTCAGCTGTCAGAGGGAGGTTGTTCCTCCCTAGCACGTTGGCAGAACATACTGCACCTGCATGAAACCAGTAATGTATTGTACATAGCACTTCTCTGCAGAACGTCTCATATAAGGTTGTATTCGCTCATATAAGGTTAGCATTTCGACAGTAGTTTCCAAATGTTGTTTCGGAAAGAATATCCTCTGCAACAGGCAAAATTCTGATGCAACGTTGACCAAAAACCCAACAAAAAATGCAAAAATACGGGGTACTGCGCAGGCGCAGTACGTTCTGCCGATGTGCTTTCCTCCCATCTTCTGACATGGAAGGGAGATTTGTAACTGTCTAACTCGCCTCAGATCCAGAAGTGAATGGGCAAATGACAGTGCAATGAAGCCCAAGCCATTCAGCTTGAAATTCTTTTTTTGGGTACCTCAAGCCTAAAAATTTCTAAGTGAACAGAAAAAGACTTGGGTGTATAACATAGAAAATGTCAGCAAAATAAAATAACAAACAATATGTGTTGCTTCCTCTCATTAGATCTGGAAGTTATTATCATAAAATTCTATTATACTATTTATAGTGAGTTGTTTAATTTCAACATTTTAAACATTCTAACGATAAAAAGGTTTTATTATTTTCTCTAACTTGTACCTACACTTGTATATTCCCTACACAGATATCTAGGTGCACCAAGAGTAAAAACTTAAGCACACAGCTACAACGTTGATGCACGAAAGTACATAATACGTACCCAGTATGCACCTTTGAGCTCTGCAAGTGAGGAAACAGGCTAGGGAATATATGGCAATCTCTACAAATGTTGGCTTAGGGAAGTAACAAGCCACTTGTGGCATATAAAAACTGACTAAGTCATGAGGGGAAGTCGTAAATAAGCAGGCAAAGCACATCGTTGTCTCCGCTATTAACATTTAAGTGTTGATGCCGCCTTACTCATTGTGTATTGATGGAAAAGGTGAGGCATTGCTTAAAGTCTATGTGGAACGGATAGTCGTTTGGGATAACTGTTATGTCGGCTCTGGATCCTGGAAATGGCGCATGTTTGTCTTAATGTGCGTTTTCAGCATTACATGAATGTGTTCTTCATAATGAAAACAGGTGGGAGGATTTCCCTCTCATTGCTGTGTACTGCTTCTGCCTCGATGTCAAATTTATTATAGCTGTGAAATGTCTTCAGAGAGGTGCTTCACGATTTTTCACGTTTCCCATCCGAGAAAGTATTTTGTCAGGATTGTCGCGGAGACATATGGTGGCTCACCGTAGCGGAAAATGATCTTCGCTCCTGGCAGGTGCTGTTAAACCAGTCAGCTGAGGACTCTACAATGGTGGCAAGGTGTGGTCTTGTGGTTAGGGTTGTTGTCTCAGAATCTGAAGGTTTTGGGTTCGAATCCCTGGCAGGCCCCAGCTAGTATTGTGTCCTTGGGAAAGGCACTTTGCATCTATCAGCTCGGAATGTAGGCAGATTTGCCTATGTCATTAATCACGCCGTCAGCGGTACTGCGCAGGCGTATTTCTCGTGACCCCAGAATTTGACCCGAAATCCAAGATGGCGGACAGACAGGAGCGGCTGCGGACGACTCTCGCATTTAGCCAGGTTTACCACGTATACAGACAGCACAACGGATTTCTGACCGCTGTCGGGAATTGGAACGTTTTCAGTTCATAGCCTACAACTTTTATCGTAACAGTCTGATAACGTAAAAGCGATTTTAGGACAATTTTTTACTGTCTGACCGGACGTAACAACTGCTTTGTGTGGGGGAGCCCGTGCGGGCTTACGCTGCACTAGTTAGAGTATTTGGTCTGTTGGTATCGGCCCTTTGGTATGCATATGTTGTCGCAAAATTACTAATGAAAAATTACAAATGAATTCAACCTTTTCGGACCACGTTTGCTCCCAAGTTTAAGTAATTTGGTGCACGATGTTTGCGTAGCAAAAACTATATTTGTAATCAGCAAATTATAGATAGCGGTGTCAGGACTTTTTATACACAAGAGAACGTACGTTTCACAACCCTTCCAGTAAATACATGTACGTAATGTAGTAGGTACTACTACTAGTAGTTTCAGCCTTAGTTTCAGTTACATATCTCTGGAACGAAAGAATTCACTCCAAACATGTATTTTCTTTGAAGTCATGTCTTTAATCTTTTGACTTTACGTAAACCAAGGACGTTGTATCGGTCTTAAACGATGACCAGGGCGGCCTTCTCTGGTCCGAGGTCGCTCTCAAACGCCGACTTCAGTGCTGCAATGGCCCGCTCCCTGTCGGTCACCTGCACGTGCAGCTTGCAGGGGATGACAGCACCTCCACCTTTCTGTCCTGGCATGGGCCAAGGTGCGAAAGACTGGCGGGGTTCTCCGGTGGCCACGCTGTTTTGTGGATTACAAAGAAAGAAATGAGACAGTAAATCAATATCTCACCACCGTCATGCGTGTGAGTTGCTATTAGAAAATTAATCACATTTCTTATACATGTAATGTAGGAAACAGTACAGTTCACGAGTCTTTCTTTGTTGTATACATAAACAAGTCAGAATACATAAACATGTTTTTGTCACACATCCGTCATAATGAACTAATGCTCACCATGTCAGTTCTGCCACCTCGCCCTCCGCTTTCATCCTGCGGAGAATGGTGGACAGGCCGGCTGGAAGGCGTCCGATCCACTTTCCAGCGATGTGGCGGACCGTCGTGGACCTCTTGGTGTCGGTGACGACGTCGTGGTCCGCCGTGGGTATGCTGTCCAGTGGTGGCATCACCACCACCAGGGCGTCCTTGTCCATAGGGTTGTCCGGCTCCGGCACAACCTTCATCCTGAGACCCAACAGCGGCCTTCGGCGGAAGATGTGATACCTGTCGTGAAGTGCCAAGTTTTAATTTCATTTGCAGTTTTAAAATGTCACTTTTTTGAGATGTCATTGTTACGCCCTCGCAAAACATCAATACTCCATACTACAAACATTACAGTACCCATGCAAGACAAAAAGAAAGTACACGCCATTGTTAGGCAAAAGTCTGCAAAATCACACCTTACCCCTTGATAACCACGCCGTCCACCGTGATTTCAATAGCGCCCTGGGCCGCGCTTGGGTCCGGCATGGTTGGCGGGGAGGAAGAAGAAGCACTCTTCTTGCGCTTCTCGCATGACCCACTGGCCATACCTGTCTCCCGAGGTGCCTTTCCTGAGAAGGAGAAGGACAGGTCACCATTTTGAAATACACATCCTTGCACATGCGACCACAAGGAAGGGCGTCAGATCTACCCAGAGTCCTTCTTACTCCACAATGTATCTAAATATTGACGGGAAATTGATTTGTAGTGTCAATCCGAGCGTCTTTAATTATTGGACATCAATACCCGACACATCGTCCTCTTACATTGCTTTACACGGCTGGTTACTGGTTTGGCATGTATGAGTAAGCGCCAGAAAAAAATACATGTTATCACGTTGCTCGTTTATCACCCAGATACACGTACACTGCATTAAAAATACATGCGTCTACTTACGCTTCTTGTCCATGTTGTCAAGTCTGCACGCCGACCTGAGCAGGTTGAAACTTTGCAAAAAACTTAAACCGACTCCTTACACCGTACAAATGCGACCGACTTGAACGGGCGACACAATACAAATGAATTCTTCCTGACATGCCCGATGAAGTGCGAATGCTTTGCAATTTATGACCTGCGATACTGGACCTTTTTTTGGCTGTTGTTGCTATGGAGAAAGGAGATTCCCAGTCACATCAAAATCAGCAATACGGTACGCAACCGTCCTCATGATATCAATGCATAAGGACGTGCAGAATACGGCATCGTTTTGTGGCATCATCTGTATCTGTATCTGTATCTGTATAGCCGGTATAACCGCCTTTCGGCGTAACACACCAGCTTCGCAGGCACGCGGCGCGGCGGCAGCTGGCTATATTACACCGATCGACTTGTTACACCTAACCCTTGAACTTCTAGCTCTAGACATTGTTTAAAGCTATCTATTGACAATGCCCCTACTGTACGTGGTGACAGTGAGTTCCACTCTGCGATAGTTCTAGGAAAGAATGAATTCTTGAACACCTCAATCCTTGGTTGATAACTCTGGTACTTGAATGCGTGGCTATTTCTTGTTCTCTTCTGGGCTGGTATTAGGTACTTAGTAGTTGGGACATCCACCAGTTTATTAGTCATTTTGTACATCATGCATAGTCTAGACATCTTTCTTCTGTCTTCCAGTGAGGTCCACTGTAGGTTTCTTTTCATTTCCGTGACACTAGCACCTCTTACATAGTTGTTCATACAGAATCTTGCAGCTTGATTCTGATACGGTAAGGATGGGTAAGAATGTGTAAGGATGGGTAAGGTTGGGTAAGAATGTGTAAGGATGGGAGAGGATGGGTTAGAATGTGTAAGGATGGGAGAGGATGGGACAAGAATGTTTAAGGATGGGAGAGGATGTGTAAGGATGGGAGAGGATGTGTAAGAATGTGTAA